TTCAATCTGTTTATTTATTTGGTAATCATAATCATGGTCACTTAAATACACATTCGAATAATCCAATATTGTTAATTTCTAATTATTTTGATTTTGGTATGAAAATGCCGATTCGAGATTCGCCGATTCGCTCCGGCCATTCGCATGGCAATTTTTGCCTCCCCAAAAAAATTTTCGTTCCTACGCCTCTGTACAAGGTAAATACCAAATTTCTTCACATAAACTGGCTAAGTGACGGACACTTTTGTTATTATAGTCATATAGTCAACCTGTTCTCTATTACGCGTCTGAACCTACCTAGAATTGGTGAAATAGAAATCATTACCACAGCTTACTTACTATCCAGCTGCACAACTCTCTTGGCGGGAGCGGTTTGCGCCGATCTACGCGCGCAGCGCTTATGCCCCGCCTCTTGGGGTAAAAGACTGCATTGCCTGTTTGGCGTGCAATCAAGCCCAGTGTTACCACGTTGGCCATTGTCCCGAATTCAATTCAATTAGGCAATAAAATGTATTAAACACCCAACCCTAGTTTCATTGCAATATTACGTAATATTGTACAGCAAATTCTAAACGTTCACATTACAATACAGCTCAAAAATCACCTACTACGGTACTGTGCAGCGACCGCGCGATGAAAATTCGTTTAATCCGGCCCTGACTTTTACCCCAAGCGCGAGAAAGAGGGCACCATTCCATCTCGCTTGGTTGTAGACCGCCAGATCAAAGGCGCCGCTCGAGAGTTGCGGAGCTGGATAGTAAGTAAGCTGTGTCATTACAACCACAAAAGGAAACCATATGCGACTTATAACGGCTTTATGTATAGAATGAAGCGTGAATACGGGAAAATGCATAACGTGCTGCCCGTTAAAGAAAAGACGGAAATCTTGTAGCCAGATTGATTACTAAGAACCAATAAATCTACAGAGCGATTGGGCGAAATAATAATTTGCCGTGTCACATGTACCGTGTCCCGCATAAATACCACCCATCATAATACGAACATGCTCGTAATCCTTTTAAAGGAGATGCGCGAGAATTTTACAGAAAACAATTGCGCACTATTAAGTAAGTACCGTATCGACAGTATCCGCGGACCGCGACTTTTCTTTAATCTACCGATTACGGCCGAGTGCGGTACAATCAATGCTTGGCACGACACCACTGTCTTCTTTTCTGCTTGACGAAACTGGTAACTTCACACCCATACACAAAACATAAGCATTTCCAATTTAAAATGCTACAATAAGCACATTTTCAAAAGCTTTTCAGCTGTTCATCTTTCACCTAAGAACACGTGTGCCACCTTTGGTTACTTTCGGTTCAGTGGTTGGGCAGGAAATGAGTGCATATACACACGACTGACGATTACTAAGATCTGGGTTCCTAGGGTTCCCAAACGTAGATGTCTGTCATGAAAGTTATTTGTAGATCTCTCTTGTACTAGGTACATATTGCAGGTGGTAAAAATGATACCTTATACTCTATGTACCTCGAAATGTACCTATATCATTTATGCACCCACAACCTGGGTTAAGACGGAAACACACAATAAACCTCAGGGCCCGGGCCACGTTTTTAGCGACCTGGGTTATATTTTGAAAAGAATTATCTACAAGCCCAGATCTAAATTGCAAATAAAACAAGTATAAATTGTGCACAACTCTTGTACAGATAAAGCGCATTTTTCTTTAACCGAAATAGCTTTTGTTTTGACATCACCAATGGATATATTTCTTGCAGATGTCTCAATCGCCCTTTGTGAGTACCCTCTTCCGACAATCTGTTCTTGAGATATAAGCTCGGGTATCAGGGATACCCGATCACGATAAGAGGTCGAGGAGGAGGGCTATAGTTGGCAGAAATTAATTCCTTTCGTTGAGACCTTTCATTAGAGTACCATGAAGGATAAAACCTCGGCTAAAACTAGTTCCACTCCCCCCTCCCCTCCACTCCGTACTTTGATAAGAGGACAGAAAGAAGGGCAGTAGTTGGTACAAAACGGTTCCTTTCGTTGAGATCTTTAATTAGATTACAGTGAGAGATAACATTAACGGGTATGCCCTATCCGAGGCCCTATCCTATTTTGAAATTTTTTTTCCAAAATTCTTACCACGAAAGGGCGCACCCCTACTTGGGGGGTGCGAAAAAAATTCTGATTTCGACGAAATTTGGTATCTGGGGGTTTTTGAACATGTAAATGACGAATCTGAAATTAGTTTTTGAAAATTCGAAAAAAAAAGTTCCAATTCTTGGTCGGACGACGAAAATGGAGAGCATTCCACGAAATTTGTTGTGTACATACTTGATGAGTTAAGGAACAAAATTGTCGAACAGTTTTTAAAAATAACTTTTCAAACAAAAGTTAAGTTATACTCATTTGAAGATTGGGCCTTCGGGTTACAAAGTGTCCCCCGCCTAGTGAGTGATCTAATTTCGCATGTAGTTAATGGAAAATGTCGGAAATAACAAAAAACATCGATTTAAGTCGATAAGTCTGCAAGTGACGTTGCATTTCGCATAAATACAAACACGCATAACTCCCATTTCGCATAAATGAATTTTCATTTACAGGCATGTGACATAATTTAAACGACGCATAAAAAAAACTACGCATAACTGGCAATACGCATAACTCCCATTTTGCATAAATAAGATTCTCGTAACTGGCATTTCGCATAAATTAAAGATGCATAAAAAAAACTGTGCATAACTCCCATTTCGCATAAATGAAAGATGCATAAAAAAAAGTACGCATAACTCCCATTTCGCATAAATCTCCGTAACTGGCATTTCGCATAAATTAAAGATGCATAAAAAAAACTGTGCATAACTCCCATTTCGCATAAATGAAAGATGCATAAAAAAAGTACGCATAACTCCCATTTCGCATAAATATCCGTAACTGGCATTTCGCATAAATTAAAGACGCATAGAAAAAAGTGTCCATAACTCCCATTTCGCATAAAAACAGGTATCCGACCGACGGCGGCGGTGGCCGACCGACCATTTCGGCTACTCTGGACGTAACGTTTGTAAAAATCATCTGAATTAGAAACACAAAGCGTGTCTGTTTATTGGTTTATTCTTTGATGNATTCGCGTGGGTAATTATGCTTAATTTTTCTTTTGATTCATTGAATAGTCCTCCGAATACCATTCGTAGTCGAAGTATTTGTAGATTATTTTTGAGCTGCTGCTCCACTCATGCTAGTTACGCTTTTTAATACCACTCGCGCAAGCGCTCGTGGTATTAATCAGCGTAACTAGCATTCGTGACAGCACCTCAAAAATATTCGACAATACTTCGACTACTTATGGTATTATATATGATTATTCAATGACATTTGTCAATCTTCGACCAGTGAAATTTTTGGTATTAACCGGAATATTCTTCTTAATTTGTTAATCAATTTTGGGAATCGACTTATCAAGTTATCACACATCTTTCAATTTGATCACTCATAACAAATTAGTACAAAAGATCGAATAGAATCAATAGCAAAATTAAAAGCAACTTCCGTAACGTAATTTATTTTAACGTTTGTTATCATTATGGAAATAATGTCATGGGCTTCGGGATTATTACGTATAAATATACATTCACGTGGGTAATTACGCTTAAAGTTTCTTTTAATTCATTGAATAGTCTTTCGAATATCATTCGTAGTCGAAGTATTTGTAGATTATTTATGAGGTGCTGCTTCACTCATGCTAGTTACGCTTTTTAATATCAGCGTATCTAGTATTCGTGACAGTACCTCAAAAATATTCGACAATACTTCGACTACTCATGGTATTATACATAGGATAATATTGAGAGTACCGTGCACATTTTTGGATCCCGATAAACAATTAGATACATATATAATATTTGGGATATTAAATTTTGTGTGGTATCACACAAATTGCATCAACTACGAGAATTTGCAATTGGCATATTCTTATATTCGATGCAATATATCCGCCCTTTTTCTTTTGTATATAGGTACCTAACTATTGTCTTAGATTTAAAAAGGATAAACTACCAAATTGAAATTATGGCATTTAGAAAATGTTTTGCGACTTTTACATATTCTTGGTTCCTTACATTTCGTAGAATTAAGTAGGACAGGCAAATGGGTCCATTTCGGTACCTAATTAAACAAGCACAAAACACCAAAGACATTAGTAAAGTCAAAACTCAGGGAGAATTATTAATTAAGTAAGGAGTGCACGTACGCACTTCTAGATGAGCGCGAAAACCTTTGTAGATAGGTGTATATAAGTACCCAAATTTTGACTTATAGGTCAACTCGAGCTTAAATGAAATAAATCTCATAATCACAATAACTGTACTATACTCCAGAAGCATTTATTTCTTAATACAGATCTGCCTTAAAGGGCAATATACTGTTGTATTGCAGTTATAATTGATGGATTTGGACGGAATTGTAATTTGTAATCCTCCCCGAAAACAAGAGTTTAGAGATCGAGTAATGATATCAAAACTATACTCCGCGGCGCTTTCATGCATTAACAACGGCACCCTGCAATGAGGCTATCGAAAGTTCAACACAACACATGCGTATTGCATAACACGTGAACTCGAAGAGCACACTGAAGAGGAAGAAAAAAATTTAATTGTTAATTAGTATCTGTCCCAATGTCCATTTAATTATTATTCGAACCCAAAAAACCAGTTTCAGGGCCTGTTTATACCCATATCTTTTTTTTCTTAAAACAGATTAATACTCTAAATTTAGAAGGTCAATTCTACGCTCAGAAAGTTCATTGGTCAGGTGTGTGAATTCCCTGAAATTTAAATTCCATGAATGGTTTTTATACGTTTGTAGACGAGACAACGCTAATCGGTTAAACGACCACTTCCGTGGTGTTCCTTTGTCATTGTATATCTAGGTACGGGTTATGTGTTTCTATCAGCTGCGCGCATTCGGAGGTCCTTGCATCTGCTTGTGCATTACACAAGGACGCCGCCGTAGTGAAAAAGAATTACATAATGTGATCAATCGATCGAACTTTTGTAATTCTGTCAGCATAATGCAACCACAGTATCATAGGTATAGAGTTACTAAGGTAACCTACATTTATGCAATAATAAATCCAAGTACGCAAATGCGCGCGTAATTAAAATTGGTGCGTTTAGCGCAAGCTGTCAAGTGAGCTTTCGGGTAGCGCGCGGTTTTTTCTTGTGTTTGGGTTTAATGCATCTTTGATAACATTAGATGAAAGCAATCGCACAAATAAGGCTTGCGTGCGGTTTACAACTTTCCAAAACTTTATTCGTCAACGCTCTTGTAGTGGGGAATGGTGAAATCGAGGGGGCAGCACTCAGTAGCAAGCAACAGTGCGATCCGATCGACTTGTATATTTTTAATGTTAATCTACTAAAAAATTTTACTAACATTCATTCAATCGTTGTTAAGGGGTTGATGCAATGATCGTTGCGATTTCGACGAATGTCGCGATGGGCTCGAGTGGTAATGGTAGCTTTGCGCACATGTGACAAATGTGTGCGATATCGATTCGGATTTGAATTGAAAACGCGCGGGTAAAAGTGATCAGTTCTCATTCAGAATCAGTACGAATTAAGCCAAAATGTTTAAGTTGCTAGGAGGACTAAAAGACTATTTGAAGTGGCAAGATATAGTGACAGATTGTGCAATTTTTAGACTGCATAATGTGTTTACAACTGTACTTCTACTGGCTTGCAGCCTTATCATTACCGCCACCCAGTTTGTTGGAAACCCTATACAATGCATTGTCAGTGGATTACCTACGCACGTTGTCAACACTTTTTGCTGGATCTCTTCGACCTTCACTATGCCTGACGCTTTCAAAAGACAGGTAAACAGCTGACCTACGACCTCAAATACGATTTCTGATCGTGGTCGGGATGTGTACAACTTGTACCGCTTGCAACGTGATTTTACTACAATTTCGTAATACTATAAATCGAGCTATAAATTATGTGAAATGTGGATAAACTCCACCGTTTACGTTCATTATTTTTTGTCAGTAAATCATTTACCCTTTGCCATCATTGGATAATTTAATAAGCGCTTCCGGCCAAAAAAGGGGCAAAGAACACACATGAAAAACAAGAACATGATGCAACTCGGACGTTTTTCAATTTTAAAATGTTGTATAGGGTGGGGGTTATAATTATATGTCCGATTTACAATTAAGATTGTACCTATTTATAATTAGAGAAGGGACTTTCAAGTTACATTTATGTTCTGAACGTTATGAAAAGAGTAAACGAAGAACTTGTCAGGACACTCGTTACAGGGTCACATGAGTCCAGGTCAATTGACTGGGACGCCTTCAAAATGTTTTCCATCATGGTGACGTTACGATTGCCAATGAAGGTGAGACAATTGCGCTCCAAGATAATATTGTTGTACCTAGCTCAAAGAAAAGTGACATTGACATTATTCGAAATCGATTGTGGGCTAACACAATTCTGAACACTCAAATGAACGACAGTTTTAAAATTAAAATTAAACAGTATTTCTTACTATGGCCGAGAGTATGGCTAATTTGCACATAGGTGTAGGTACGAGGTTTTACCTCGGGTTTTACTGTCTCGGAATTTTTGAAATTTTTTGCTACATTTCTTCGTACATTTCGTACAAGATAAAGTCTTAATTATAGTCTGTCCCAGAGTTAGGGAGAGTAACAAATTGCCTCGAATGCCTCTATCGCCCTCGATACGAAACAGTATGACTATAGTTTAAATTGAACCGAACAAATACGGCCACCTTGTTTGCCACCAAACATAGGTATTTGACTCTGTATTTGAAATGGGAAATTTCCAATGTGCAGCATCCAATATATGGGGGTAGGTACTCCCCGCTCCCGCAATACTTGCGTGCAGTCATAGGTGTGTGCGAGGGTGTGTGGATATTATCGTCATTTTGTAAGAATATACTACATAAATCCTCCCATAAATCAATCGCCGAATTGGACCAACAATTTGCTTGACGACTAACATTAATTCGTGCAAGAAAAGTGATAAAGTCGAAACCGAGGGGGGCGGAGGAGTCAGTTGCCCCCCCATATTTTATACTGGGGAGCAGAGATTGCATTTTGCCCCCCCCCCCACGCTCCCATCATTCAGTTGTATTTTTTAAATTTATATGTAAAATTAATATTCTAACTAATTTTTTAATTGGTTTCTTAATTTAATTTTTTTCGAACCCAGATTAAATTCGAATCTGCCTGCTCACGCCAAAACTGATATTTTACAAATACAAAATTTGTACTGTTCAGACGACTATTTACCGAGCTATTTACTGACAGTCTCGCTGACGGTACTGAGGATATGTGAAAAAGTAAATTATTTTGAATTAACCGTTGAAAATTATTGGTAGTGCTGCTTGAAATTGAATTGAATGGAATTTTTCGAGGAATTTTTTCAATATGTATTTACTTTTTTTCCTCGAAGACAGTAAATCACTGTTTTAAACCTTTTCTATAAAAAAATATTGACAGTAAGTTCAAAATAAACGTATTTTGCCTCGTATTTTGCGCTAATTTTCACTGTGCATAGTAGGTATGAATTTCAATCTGTTTATTTATTTGGTAATCATAATCATGGTCACTTAAATACACATTCGAATAATCCAATATTGTTAATTTCTAATTATTTTGATTTTGGTATGAAAATGCCGATTCGAGATTCGCCGATTCGCTCCGGCCATTCGCATGGCAATTTTTGCCTCCCCAAAAAAATTTTCGTTCCTACGCCTCTGTACAAGGTAAATACCAAATTTCTTCACATAAACTGGCTAAGTGACGGACACTTTTGTTATTATAGTCATATAGTCAACCTGTTCTCTATTACGCGTCTGAACCTACCTAGAATTGGTGAAATAGAAATCATTACCACAGCTTACTTACTATCCAGCTGCACAACTCTCTTGGCGGGAGCGGTTTGCGCCGATCTACGCGCGCAGCGCTTATGCCCCGCCTCTTGGGGTAAAAGACTGCATTGCCTGTTTGGCGTGCAATCAAGCCCAGTGTTACCACGTTGGCCATTGTCCCGAATTCAATTCAATTAGGCAATAAAATGTATTAAACACCCAACCCTAGTTTCATTGCAATATTACGTAATATTGTACAGCAAATTCTAAACGTTCACATTACAATACAGCTCAAAAATCACCTACTACGGTACTGTGCAGCGACCGCGCGATGAAAATTCGTTTAATCCGGCCCTGACTTTTACCCCAAGCGCGAGAAAGAGGGCACCATTCCATCTCGCTTGGTTGTAGACCGCCAGATCAAAGGCGCCGCTCGAGAGTTGCGGAGCTGGATAGTAAGTAAGCTGTGTCATTACAACCACAAAAGGAAACCATATGCGACTTATAACGGCTTTATGTATAGAATGAAGCGTGAATACGGGAAAATGCATAACGTGCTGCCCGTTAAAGAAAAGACGGAAATCTTGTAGCCAGATTGATTACTAAGAACCAATAAATCTACAGAGCGATTGGGCGAAATAATAATTTGCCGTGTCACATGTACCGTGTCCCGCATAAATACCACCCATCATAATACGAACATGCTCGTAATCCTTTTAAAGGAGATGCGCGAGAATTTTACAGAAAACAATTGCGCACTATTAAGTAAGTACCGTATCGACAGTATCCGCGGACCGCGACTTTTCTTTAATCTACCGATTACGGCCGAGTGCGGTACAATCAATGCTTGGCACGACACCACTGTCTTCTTTTCTGCTTGACGAAACTGGTAACTTCACACCCATACACAAAACATAAGCATTTCCAATTTAAAATGCTACAATAAGCACATTTTCAAAAGCTTTTCAGCTGTTCATCTTTCACCTAAGAACACGTGTGCCACCTTTGGTTACTTTCGGTTCAGTGGTTGGGCAGGAAATGAGTGCATATACACACGACTGACGATTACTAAGATCTGGGTTCCTAGGGTTCCCAAACGTAGATGTCTGTCATGAAAGTTATTTGTAGATCTCTCTTGTACTAGGTACATATTGCAGGTGGTAAAAATGATACCTTATACTCTATGTACCTCGAAATGTACCTATATCATTTATGCACCCACAACCTGGGTTAAGACGGAAACACACAATAAACCTCAGGGCCCGGGCCACGTTTTTAGCGACCTGGGTTATATTTTGAAAAGAATTATCTACAAGCCCAGATCTAAATTGCAAATAAAACAAGTATAAATTGTGCACAACTCTTGTACAGATAAAGCGCATTTTTCTTTAACCGAAATAGCTTTTGTTTTGACATCACCAATGGATATATTTCTTGCAGATGTCTCAATCGCCCTTTGTGAGTACCCTCTTCCGACAATCTGTTCTTGAGATATAAGCTCGGGTATAAGGGATACCCGATCACGATAAGAGGTCGAGGAGGAGGGCTATAGTTGGCAGAAATTAATTCCTTTCGTTGAGACCTTTCATTAGAGTACCATGAAGGATAAAACCTCGGCTAAAACTAGTTCCACTCCCCCCTCCCCTCCACTCCGTACTTTGATAAGAGGACAGAAAGAAGGGCAGTAGTTGGTACAAAACGGTTCCTTTCGTTGAGATCTTTAATTAGATTACAGTGAGAGATAACATTAACGGGTATGCCCTATCCGAGGCCCTATCCTATTTTGAAATTTTTTTTCCAAAATTCTTACCACGAAAGGGCGCACCCCTACTTGGGGGGTGCGAAAAAAATTCTGATTTCGACGAAATTTGGTATCTGGGGGTTTTTGAACATGTAAATGACGAATCTGAAATTAGTTTTTGAAAATTCGAAAAAAAAAGTTCCAATTCTTGGTCGGACGACGAAAATGGAGAGCATTCCACGAAATTTGTTGTGTACATACTTGATGAGTTAAGGAACAAAATTGTCGAACAGTTTTTAAAAATAACTTTTCAAACAAAAGTTAAGTTATACTCATTTGAAGATTGGGCCTTCGGGTTACAAAGTGTCCCCCGCCTAGTGAGTGATCTAATTTCGCATGTAGTTAATGGAAAATGTCGGAAATAACAAAAAACATCGATTTAAGTCGATAAGTCTGCAAATTCGATTCCAATAATGCGTGGCTGCGGATGGTGCGAAAATCTACATTACAATCAATAAGCATTATTGCAAGTATCGTATAATATCGACTTAAATCGTGTTTCCATGCATTCGCTTTATTCAACCTGCAACTGCAAAAAGGTAGTTGAAACACGTGTTATTTAAAATCATGGATTGTAGGTTCATACAGGGTGTTTTTTTCAGATGGCCCATACGACAATGTAAAGGCGTTGACTTATTTAAAATGGGTCATAGGGAAATTTACATTGCATTAATTGTTTCAGTCATAGCTTGCTCCCGAATCATCTACCAGAGTATACTGCAGAAATTGTTTCTAAATCAACAAATTTATTCAAATCAGATATCGTATAAGATTACAATCCGTGCTCGAATTGTTTTCCACCGGCAAGCAAACAATACCCGATAGGCGATAACCGATACTCGGCAATTAATAGCTCGCATACCCACTGTGTACAAATTGTACATGAACACCTTTTCGAACGAAGAAATCATGTTGCTACTTCGTTGATTCAGTTTGAAGGATTGAGATCGAGAAGTGTCAGTGAACTAACTAAGCGCAAGGCCAAGATTTGAGAACAATTGGCGCAATGCAAATTTCCCTATGGCCCATTTTAAATAACTCAACGCCTTTACATTCACTGTTGTCACACACCTACGGTTATGATGTATGCTAGGTATGTACTTTCTATGGCACATCTTTAAAAAAAACACCTTGTATATTAAAGTATAAGTGGATCTTTAAAACGCGCGATGTTTCTC